CTCTGCATTTGGCTAATTTGAACTATTTCTCTGTCTCATTCCTTAGACTCCGAGTAATGGATTTGGTGTGCTGAGTAGTATGGCAGTCTTTTTTAGGATTATGCTTATGGTACCCAGAAGCAGTTCTTAAGACTAAACAGGTATTAGATTACTAAATGCTGATAAACAAATCTTGGAGGCTCTTACTTTGTAGTTACAGTATTTAAAAAAAAAAAAAAAAAAGGGGGGGGGGGACTGTAGGATTTCAGTGAAAACAAGTGGCTTGCGTTGTAAAATGGTGCCCTCTGTACTGCTGTGTCTAGAAGGGCACACACAATACTTCTGTCTTTTGTAGGGAAGACATACTGTGATTTGGGCAGACTTGGATTTGTAGTAGGTGATTTTTTTTTTAAGTGTTATCATGACGATATTACAATCCCGGCAAGCTTCTGGAAATGCATCTTTACTGAGTGCACTCCCACATGTTCAATGTTTCTGAGCAGTAGCAGCCAATAACATTAGCTTCTCTCATGGCTGTGAATCTTGCAAACCCTGTTAAAGTCTTAATGTGTAGGATTAACCAGAGGATGCCCCCTGATGAGACTCTGCATTGTTTCATTTGCCAGTGAAATATTGCATCTAATCTTCATGTAAGTACAGCCTACGTATTGCGCTGGTTGTGATCATCACTGTGCACTGGCATACATTTTTTTTCTCTTTAAATATACATACGCATATGTATTTGGAAGGCTCATAAGCAAAGCCTTGATGTTGCTAGATGCTTGTTTGTGTCTGAGCGGCTAGTGGGATGGGGCTGTCCCTTCCGGTAAAGGGCTGCTGCTGCCTTCCTTGAACCTGCAGTCTCTGAAAGCAGGGTTTTGCTCTTTCAGAGTGCGTTTTCTTTTTTGTTTGTAGAGCATCAATTAATCTGCTCCTCACCTACATGCTTAATTGCTACATCTTACTTTGACTCTAGTACCCGCCTACCTGCGGCACATGGAGTGGGTTGAGGAGATCGTTGAACCATAAGCGAAGGGAGCAAATCCTGGAAGGTGCTGAGCACCTCCTTCAAAGAGTTGGGGCTTGTTCTCCCCTGTGGTGGAAGCTGCGGCTTGCCACCAGATCAGGTCTAGAGCAAGGTGACTGCAGAGCTCTTTCTTTGGAGGCTCCAGGTTGGCTGTCTCGGGGTGAAGACCGCCGTGGTCCCGCTCACTGGTGATGTGGCGTGGGCTGGCACTGAGCTCTGCGCTCGGTGGCAGAGAGCCCCTGGCTGTGCTAGGCAATCCTGCCCTTGTCCCGTAGAGGGCAGCTCTACCCACCCTTGGCAACTCGCTGCACAGGCGCAAGACCGCAACCCTGAATGCACAAGCTTTACTTCTGGAGCAGGATCCCATGCTTCAAGTCCTTTTCCCTTCCCAGTCCCAGATGCTTTTTTTCAAGCAAAAATGAAGCAGTGCTAAAGATAAGAGTTCTAATAGACTTTTCTCCTTGGCTTTTTCTTCTTTAAAGTAAGTTAAAGAAGCAGGAATTGGGCAACAGCAGGCTATTATGACGGGAACAGTACATCTGAAACCGCCCCAGTGCAGAGTGATTGCTAGTTGCAGTATAACTTAATGTTCTCAGCACCTGTTGGTGCTTGGTGCCCTTCTTAAACCATGATATAATCCGAGTCACAACCAGGATAAACACATAACAGGTTGTTGTTAAGGTAGGCAAGTGCCTGCAGTTAAAGGGACAGGCTCCCGTATCGACTGGGTTACTAGCCGAATTAACTACCCATTTTACTTTCTGCTTAAGTCAGAGGTGACGTGATGCTGAGGGAGAGATGTCTGAAAATTGTGGTTTGCTCTCTTGGAGTTTTGGACATTATTCTGGCAGCAGAGATGAGCGATTGCTGAATAACATTTTTCTTAATGTTGAATGTGAATTATATGTGGGTGTGCATATAGGAGTTGAGCGTTTCATTGTGTGCCTTATTGTGTGCGTTCAGCTTCCCTCCTTTCACTCCCTCCATTTCCCTGTGGATTTTGTCCGTGTATTTCTGGAATAATGAACATAGAGCGTTGCTCTTTGTTTTTCCTCACCAAAATAGAGCTCACATGACTAAAGAATCATACGACCTTGCCCTCTCCAGTTTCTGTTAGGTCATCCAGCCTGTATGCCAGTGCCCGTGGATTCTAGCAGAGCGCTTGCAAGCGAACTGCCCTAAGCACTAGAAAACGCCCCAAGTGATGCTTCTTCGACCACATCCTGTGGAAACTGTCCAAGTTGGTTTTACTGGTGGCAGAGCTATGAAATTCTCACTCTTTTCCTCTAATTCTTATGTTCTCTTCATTCTACCTTCTTGTGATGCTCCAAACTGTTTGCTCTTTGATGCTGATGTGCTTTGAATACTCTCGGGCTATTCCAAAGAAATACGCGCCTGCTTACTCACCGTTAGGGCAATCTCTCCGTAGCCTTTACAAGGCTCTTTTTGCCCCCCACCCCCAGTCCCCTTTCACTCCCTTCAGCCTTATAACCTCTTATCTCTAAATATTATACCCTCATCTTGCATCTCTTTTTTCCAGTTCCTCAGTATTTCTGGTAATGATCTGTCTGGGGCTGAGGGTGGATTTACAGCCTCTTGGAAAGAGGTGGTTTCACTGCTTCTTGGGCTTGTGTAGCCATTAATGGTTCTCTGTGAATTGGGTCTGATACGAGATTCAGGACTAAGAAGTTGTTGTTGTTGTTGTTACTGTTGCAGCTTTCTTAAGAGCTGCGTGGCACTGTCCTGTATGTAGTCTTAAATCATTTGACTTGCTCCCTCCAGCAAATTGATTTGGCCTTCGGAGAGAAGCCAAATCGCTCCTAGGCTGTCGTCTTGACGTCGGGCGCTTCACATCAGGTAGATCCATCTGCATGGATCACTTCTGGACTGAGGTACCATTGTTCTGTGGACTGAAGTCCTTTTTAGGCAGGAATTACAGAGCGTGCCTTTCTATTCTGCGTGAGCGGTATACAGGAAAACACAGAGGGTAGTGCAGAGCTCAAGATATTAGTGATTCAGGGTGGGGAGGGGGTTTTTAGTGTAGCCATTTAAGATGGTCCTCAGTCAAATGCTGCTTTCCAGAAATGATTGCATTTCACTGATGCATGCTTTCCTTGGACTACATGCGAGAATGAAGAAGGGTAAAATATTTTCTCTGAGATTGTACAATAGCTCAAGTGTCTGCGTGGATTATTCTGAAACATTTTGTACTGTCTGGCTGCAGCTGACTTCAAGTTTTTTGTGATCTTCTCTTAAAAATGAATATTTTAAATTTGGCTTAATGTTCCTGTGAGGAGAAGTCAGCTTTTATGACAGTTGCTGCTTTTTAAGGGAGCTTAACCCTGGAGGCATTTGTCATCCCCTGTGAAAGGTTGAGGTTAAAAGCTGACAGTTGACTGTTAGATAAATTTTGCATTCTTTCCAAATTCCAGTGGGCTTTTCACCTGGCCTTGAGCACCGCCCCTGTGAGAGCGGTGGTGGAGGAGGCAGAGGGGACCTAGCATCTAAATTATAGATGCGCAAATCACTGCTGGCTTCCTGGCTGCAAGGATGCTCTTCATGTAACAGCTGATTGTTTCTAGTCAGTCGTCTGTGGACCTTTTATAATGACCGTATTAGCATGGAGGTGAACGAGAAGGGATGGGGTAGTGGCATGTATAATGAATGAGTGGTATCGAGTAGCGAATAGTGTGCAGTCTGCCTTTTCGCAGACCCTGAGCAAGGTATAGCGCGGAAAGGTGAACTTAGGTGTGTTTGCGCTAAAGCAAGATTTTTTTGTTTTGTTTTTTTTCCCCAATCTGTAAAGTCTCTGAGATTTTTTAACTAAAACCTAGCAGGGTTTAAAAAAGGTTTAGACACTTATACAGCTGTTAAGAATACCCCACATTGTTGCAGGAAGAGTAAAAGGGACAGTCTGGCACAAGCATTGTTCTGTGAGACGTTTGCTCCCTCAGCCTTGGAGAGCTAGGAGGAAACTGCTTTGGAGTCGTGTTTTTTCTCACCTGCCTACTGTAGTGCTCCTGACTGCTTTATCTGAAATAGCTGGTGCCGGCTGTGGGTCAGAGACAGGATAATGCGTGTGCCAGATCACTGGTCTGGGCCAGTGCTTTATTTCTTAGCTGTTGCAGTCTTGAGTAAGATGCTAGAACAACATTCGGTTTAAAAAAAAAAGGGGGGAGGGGAGAAAAAAAATGATTTAAAAAAAAAATAGTATCTGACACTGAAGCAGTTTGGTGTCCTTGATTAACCTCCTGCATGGTACATTAATAGATGCGAAATTGAAATGTTTGATAAATTATTAACATAAGCACTTTGGGCATCTCCCGGCTCGCTGTGTCGCTTTGTTTTGTCTTGATGGCAGCAGGAGTGATCGTGCTCTGGAGCTGTGAAGTGAAGCGTCTGGGGCAGGGGAGAGTGTCCAGTGAGAAATCTGTTTTTTGCAATAGGCAAAATTGGATACGAGCGCAAATCCAGGTTGTCTGCTGAGGTTTGACTGGAGCTCTGTAGAGCAAATAACTTTGCACTTAAAAGTGTCTCTAGAACTGAATGCTATTTTAAAACTGTGCTCTGAAGCTGCAGTTGAATTTTTAATCACCAGTGTGGATGGGTTCTAGGAGTTTAGACTAACCCCTTAGCTTGCTTAGAGATTGATCTTGGTTTTTGGGGGCAAACGAAGCTCCTCCTTTGAGTCTTGGTTGGTCAGTCCTGAATGGTTTAAACCCAGGCCTTTTTTATTTAAAAAACAAAAAAATATTCTTCTTAATAAAATGCATTTGGGGGTGTTTTTACCCCTATTAATCAGCCTTTGGGGATCTGCACTGAGAGGAGCCAGTTGCTTCTGAAACGGAGCAGGACATGGCGTTGGATTGGGTGATAAGTGCTGCAGGTCCCCTGAGCTTGAAAAACTGGCATTCCTCCTTTCACAGAGGAATAAGCAGAATAAAAAATGAGTAGGAATGATACAGCGGGATGAGGGGGGGGGTGCGCAAAACATTGAAGTAGTTCCATCTCCTGCTTTACTGTACTACTTAATGTATGTTATGTGTTTTTGTTGGGGATGGGATTGGTAGAGGTTGATTGTTTTTCATACTTTCTGCTGCTCTTTGCATCGATAGGCTGGATTTAAACCCTTGTGGCAGCAGTCTGAAAGTTGCCCTCGTGTCCTGGCTATTTCCAAACTGTTTTGTTGGCGAAGGCTCTCTTTTAAGGATGGCAGGGGAGAGGTACCTCCCTGATAGCACATCCACACCAAAGCTTCTTCATCAGAGGAAGCTGGTGGAACCTAACGTTCTTCTGCTGTCTCCTTCCTGCCGAAGCCAAGTGAAACCAACTGAGTTTTTGCTTCCCTCTAATATCCTTCTCTCAACCTTGCAGACCTCCTCCCTGAAATCTTTAAAGCTAACAGTGAAATATGAACATGCTGATTTCATTTAGCAGCAATGCAAGTTTTAAACATCCCAGTAACTGGGCTGCTTCCGTGCTGAGATAATCTTCTGTGGCAAAGATGTGTCCTTGTCAATGGCTCTGGGGAAGAGTCTGCAGCCACGGTACGTTGCTGTACTTGTCGAAGGTATCTACTTTGCGTTGGATGTTGTAGTTACAGTGTGCTTGGGAAAGAGCAACACGTTTGTAGCCTGATTTCCACAAAAGTCTTGGTGATAGTCTAGCTTTATAATACTCTAATTTGTATGACAGGGTTGTAGAATAAACATGGCTGAAATAAAGAAACAGCCCTTCCAGGAGTGAAGCACTGATCCTGGAAATGTCAAATCTAACTGTGATGTGACTCAGCATGGTTATACTGATTTACTCCTCAGTGCTACTGAAGGTACCTTCTACTTTTTTCTTTTAAGGCTTTCAACCTGCCACCGTGTCAGTTGTGAAATGAGGGAAGCGGTGAAAACAAGGAAGCTAAACGATAGGTGGTTTGTTCAAGCTGCCTGTGATGCCAGGCCTGTTAGTGCTTCTGGTCTAACAGAAGAATCTGTGCACAGTTATTGAGGTGAGCTTGGATCCGGAAAGGGGAGCGTGGCTTTGAGAGATGGGTGTGGGGGGGTACTCAGTTGAAAAGTTGAGATGTCAGAAATCAGATTCCCGTAACATACTACGGGAGTCTGTACTTTGGTGTCCCTGGAAAAGGAAGGTATGTGAGAAGGTGTTCGCTTGCCCTCTCCGTATCTGATAGGAGTAACAGCACGGCACAAGCACGCTTACATCTAGTGCTGTTGAGAGATTTTTTTCCTCTTTTTTTTTTTTTTTTTAATTGTGGACACAATAGTGAACTAATGTATTTTGTGTAAAATTCCAAGATCTTGGATTTAAACAGATTCTGGCTTGCTTATGACTGCTGAGAAAATTAAAAGTTAGTCATAAGCCAGTTTTTTTTAATTACTTCATGATTTCTACCATATTTTTTTGCTTGATGTTGGCAGTATGACCGGGAGGTTGCCATTTACAGGTGAGTTTAAATACTTGCCTTATTTGGACCGAGAAGGAGGTTACACTAGTTAATAACCGTTCTCTGCTAATATTGCAGAAGGCCAATGCAGTGCATTTTACGTGTAGAGAACAATCACAGCACTAACAGCTGGGGTGGGGGGGGACGAACTCAAAACACTAGTTGCAGTTAAATGCAAGACTGCAGAAAGACGCCCCTGCAGTTTCTACAAGTCGTTCAAATTGCAAACCCCTCTCTAATTATTGATCTGAGCTTGAATTTCTCCAGCATAGTATTGAGACTTGCATCTTGCCAATAAAAATTTTGTAAAATTGAAATGATTAACAATAACGTACTCATAACGTTAAGCCCTGGGATCCATAAAAGGCACTCTTTTGCTAATAAAAGCACAGCACAAACATGCACGTGCTCATAAAGAAATAAGAACCTTTGCTGACCTGTTGAAATGAAGTTGATGTTCAGTCCTACAAGGCTTATTGACCACTGGACAATAAAACCACCTGATCACCCTCTACTTAACTTTATAGATTTAGAATATAGATTGCTTAGGAGACAAATGTTGGATTTCCAGTGTATATTGACACTGGATGATCAGATTCTTGCATTAGGATTTAAAATGCTCAGATGCGAACATTGTGGGAGTTGCTCTCCCTGGGCCAGTTCACACCAGTTCTTGCAGGGAGAAGTAGGTTTGTGCAGATCCTCAGGTGTGCTCCTTTGACTCACCTTTGCAGTGATTTCTGCTCACTTAAAATGTGGCCCTTCAGCCTGACCTGCACTAGATCTTTAAATGTCAGTCTTTTGTAAGAGGAAGATTGTTTTATTACTTCAGCATGACTTGTTGGAATAAGATTCAGGGTTAAGCAAGGATGATTTGCATGTTATGACTATTCAGTCATAACAAGAAATGTACTTTCGGTTACCGTCTGGGTGGATATTGTAGGGAAGGTGATCGGAGACTGGGCTCTCTTGAAATATTCTTTGCATTACAAACATAATTTGTACACCATTGGTGTACAAACACCATTGCTGCTGCTGCTTAAACTGTTACGTAGTGTATATGGCTTCAGGGCCTTCCAAACCTTTCGTTTTTATCTGGAATTAATTGTGTAAGTGGGGATCATGTATGAGAACAGCTTGTATTGTAAAGGACTACCTTGAGTCTGAACCAGTGTCTCTGTCCTGTTAGAGCCAAAAGTTGTGGTCCCCTATTTAAATGCATTATGAATATTGCATTTCATGTAGTCTTTTTTGGGCTTCAGTTTGTTTGCAAGGACTTCCTGCTCAGTATGTCTGGGGTGTAACTGGATTCTTCAGGATCAGGAGTTGCTTTAGGTTTTTTTTCTTTTGAAGAGTCTTGGAGTATGTACCGCTTAGTAGCAAGCGAGTCCTCAGATTGTCCTCTGTGCCTCTTAGTGACTTCCGAAGACACAGATTTCTCTGCTGCTACCTGAAGTTCAGTATAATTAGGACACTTCAGAACAGCGTGAAACTGTCTTGTCAACTTTCTGCAGACCTCTAAGGCTTAAGAAGCGATTCTTATGATATGTGGAGTTCATAATCCTTCATAGGTCCTATTTTATTTCAGGTAACAGTTGGGGATGTATGAGCACCCAGGGGATGGGTGCACTGTCAAATGTGTGGTGGTACGGTGCTGAAGGCTTATTTTCTTTTACAAGGGGTTTCGAGCAGCCAAAGAGCCCCTAAAGGAAAGAGTCTGAGCTAGCAGGTTACGTGGTTCTGATTTGCTTATTTGGTTTGCCTTGTTTCTGGTGTCAGTTTTGTCTTGCTTTTTTTCCCTTAATACACAGCAATTGAGGTCAAGAGCATGTAAAACACCCTGGGGAAACACGTCCCCCTAATTCTTAGGCAAGATATAGGATGGATCACAAGCTGAAACTGCTTGACTCAGTCAGAGCCACTGTCAGCCACTCGTAGGCTTGGCTTGATAACTGGATTTAACTATTCACTTCTTCCCCTCTGAAGTCACCCGCGGTGTGTAATGACTTTGCAGTGTGCACGTTCTTCTAAGCACTGAATGGGACCGACCAGACTGCCACATGATTCACAGGACTCGCGTCCACTGTTTTTAGGTCATTACCAGACTGGGCTAAATTTAGCAGATGAGCCAGAAGTGTGAGGCTTCGTATCCAGCCTCCTGCCTGGTCCCTATTTCTGGGCTATCCACTTGGACGGTGCGCTACAACCGGTCATATATCAGCAGAATACCTGGGCAGAAAGCAACGTATAAGGGATGAGATCTCCAGTTGCTTTTTTTTCCTCCCTTCCTCCTTTTTTTTTTTTTTTCTTCCCTCCTACAGAGCTGGTATACCACTGAGATGATTTTTTTTTTTTTTTGCAAGGTTACTAAATAACACCGTATGAAACACTGGTGGAGTTGTGGGGGAAAAGCTCTGTTTGCTGAGCTAGTAATAGCATGTGGTGCTTTTCACCTCCTGGATTGCTGGCTTGAATCCCTACTGGACTGATAGCAACTCCAGTCCTCCTCTGAGCAACAAGCCTGTGGGATGAGTTGTCCCGTCCAGTTTCGGATGGATGGTGTATGTGTTGGCTGTCTGTGGCCAGGGAGTGGTGGACTGCTGAACTTGGGTCACTGCTGGAGGTCTTCACTGACTTGGGGGTGCACTTGGAGCAAAGAGGGAGACACTTTCCTCGCTAGTGTTAAACTACATCTCCAGTAGAGAACAGTCCCACCTCCTTTCTTTCAAGCCCCACATCTTTGCCAAAACCGTCAAGATGGCAGAGATGAGTAAGGGGGGGAGAATGACAGTTACTCTGACAGTGTAATGAAAAATTTCAACCCTGCTGGGAGCAATGCACTGGTTTTGCAGTTCCGAGCTGTTCTTTATTGTAACTTCCTTGGTCGTTTCAGGATTCTATTTATTTGCAGTAGCACACTGGTTAATTAGGGATTTTCATTAGATTAGCAATATTGTCATCAAAAACAGCTTAAAATGTGTCAGGTCTGCTTAATTCTGATTTATTAAAGAAGGCTGCGATAAGTGTGTCTTTGAAACTGTTACTGGGTCTGCTGGAGGTCACCTGTAATTCAGAGCATCTGGCGTAGGTCATCGCTAGGCTTTTTGTTCTGTGGCGTGTAAGCTTTGGTTTTTCAGCTCCTCTCTGAAGGAGGAGATGCTTCAGACTTGGTGACAAAAATCCCCCTTTCCAGGCAGCTGCACTGCTAATGACTAAACGGTGTTAATTAGTTTTCTGTGCGGTTGCAGTAGTGTTCCTTTGTCCCTTCCATAATGGTGACCCAAACAGAAGATGTCAAGGAATCTGTTTCAGCTGAATTTAACTAATTATAAGAAAGCACTTGCCTTCGCTCTCCCAAGCTCGGTTACGCAGTTTGAAAGCTTGGAATAGCGGTGGTCGAAGCAATAGCATTTATGTTGAGAGTGTGGTTTGCATCAGAGTGATGTATGCAGAACACAATTAAAAAGTTCAGTCTTAAGTTGCCTGCGCGTTTTGGATCCACGTAACGCGCTTCAAGTGTTGTTTTCCTGCGGGAAACCTTGAGGCACTTGTTCTTCCGCCAGCTATCAGGAATGTGTGGACGTAAGTTGAAATGGTTAATTTATTAAAAAAAAAGAAAAAAGAAAATCCCCTGAGCTCTGTCTTCACATAACTGATGTGCCTCTCGCTAGGGAGTTGAGGAGGAAGGGGGATAATGGAGCTTGAGCAGATGTACTAGAACAAGTACATCTTGGATCCGAAGCGAAAGGACTCGGTGATGAGGCCTGGCCCCTGCCTTCAGTAGCTGCAGACTTGCTCCTGTGTCCTGGTTCTCCTGGTTTAACTGTCCCACGCTGAAATGGAGTTGGCCCCTCGGCTGGGCAGGAAGCAATGGGATTTACATGACTAGAAGTACGTAAAGATTATCAGTCATGAGGGCACCTTTATAACACTTAACGAACAAAGCCCGTGGCACGCTCTCCAGCTCTTCCATCTGTGTGGCTCGGAGTGGTTTTGGAGGGAAAGGCAGCTGCTGCCTGGTGGAGGCTATAAGGGTGCCTATGCTTTAGTGCTGTTCTGCTGGTCAAGTCTAAAAAAGGATAAAATGTACCTTTTCCCCCCCTTCCTCTGCCTGTGGTGGTGTTGCTGGTGCCAGGGCTGGTTTAACGAACCTCTGCCTTCCTGCGCGACGCTGAGATCGAGTTTGGGCTTCTGTTTGCGGAGGCTTAGCCGTGGAGCTCGAGAAAGCTGCCGCGCTTGAGAAACGGCCGGGACGGCTTGCTAGTTCCTGCTTCTGGCGCAGCTGCCGAGTGAAGGCCCGGTCTTCAAAATCCAGAAACCACAGAACGGCGTTTTACTGGAGTGAATGCAACGCGGCAGGTGCCCTGGGGTGAGGGCAGCCTCCGTTCTGGGCACGGGTGCTGCCCAGCCCGGTCTCGACGAGGTTTTCTTAACGACTAGCGAGCTCGGGCCTGCTGGTGCGTTCACGTCTACGAACGAAGCTCCAAACGCTTTGTTCGGCTTCTTCCTTGGCAACCTTTCTGCGGTGTCCCTAAAGCTTGCCT